CCGAGTCCGCACCAAGCAGCGGGGAGCGCGAGACCCGGACCCGGCTCGCAGCGCTGACACCGCGCGCACGGCGCATGCGGGTGCGGCCGGGCTGCGCCCCCTGCCGGCCGGGAGGAGTCAGAGCACCGCGGGGAAGCGCCGACTTCAGCTAGACCTTGGGTCGCAGACCTTCCCTAGGGACGAAATTGCAAGCCCAGACCAGGGGACACCACGCTCCACTTATAAACCTGTCCGAACATGTAACCGTTTAGCATAATCAGTGCAAATGAGCGAGCAACATTCCCACAGGGCAATCTGGCGCTCTCCGGCCAGTCCAAAATACGCAGGAGCCTTCCTTCCAACAGTCCCCGAGGGGATCCGCTATGGTCGGTAAGGAGCCGGCTCCAAAGTTTGTACTCAGAAAACTTGGTCCGAAACCGTGGGAAACACGATCGCTTTGGGGTAAAATACGTCTGTGCAAAAACAGAAGGGAAAATGTAAATAGATGCTCGTGTTCGGGCTTATGCAGAAAGATTTTTAAAACTTTTTAACTTTTACTGATCCGTGTTTGCAGTACACACGGATCACGTTCGCCGTAGGGAGTCGGCACCCGTGCGCAACCCAGCTCAGTTCTTTCACGTCGTCCCCTCCCCTCCACCCCCCATCTCTTGACCCTCTTCCTATTTGCAAAAGATCCGGCTCCCCGTATGATTTTTATTTTTTTTTTATTTTTTTTGCGGGGGAGGGGGAAAGGAATCCAAGAAGTAATTATAACCACCTTGCATGGAGTAATTCCAGGTGTAGAAACTGAGGCTTTTCTCCCCTTTACTCATGATTTAGCCTTATACACACACAGTACAACCTCTGTCACAAGGCAGTAAGTAAGTGGAGGCTGAGAAACACAGTTCATGAAAATTCCTGCTAGGCTCCAGTAACAGCGGGTCAATCACTGGCTAAGGTCTCTGGATCCGAATCCATATTCGTCACAGCTGGACTGTGGCGCCATCTGGTGGAAGGTGTCGCTTACAGCTTAACGATTCATGGGGCTGAATCTGAGCAATCCTTCGTTTCTGTTTATCCGTATTTTAAAACGTGTATGTTTTGCTTCTTTGTTTTGGGGGGGTTTTATTTTTGAGATAGAGTCTCGCTAGGTATATAGTTCAAACTGACCTTGAACCCACTGGGTAGCCCAGGCTGACCTTGAATTTGCAGGGATCATCATGGCTAAGCCTTCAAAATGCTGGGTTTAGAGGCGTGTACCACACCTGGCTTAAACTGCAATATAGTGAGTTCAACGTTCTCTTGGAATACACAGCAATATCTTGTCTCCAAAAATAAAGAAAATAAAGACGGGGAGGCGTTGATATGGAGACTGTGTAGATCATCAGCAGATGTTAGTACCCACCAGGGGTCCTGCAACCCCTCCTGGGCAGATACTAAGAAATAACTGTCTATCAAGTACCAAAAAAATGCTCATTATGTTTTAAACATAAAACAAAGCCAGGCGTGGTAGTGTACAGCTGGAATCCCAGAACCTGGTAGGCTGAGGCAGGAGGACTTCTTGCTCCAGGCCAGCCTGGACTACTTAGCAAGACATTAACTCCCCTCAAAAAAAAAAAAAAATTAAATAA